CATTCCTTCTTGTGGGAGATCACACTGGAGGCTCTCAATCAGGATGGGGTGGGGGCTGGAAAACTACAGCCTGGGGGCCACATCTGCAGCCTCCCCACCTGCTATTGTCAAGTCTTGCTGGAATACAGCTTCACCTCTTATTCACACATGGCCCATGTCTGACTTCAGGCTACAAAGGCTGAGTTGAATGGTTGTGAGAGAAAATGCAGGACCCGCAAAGCCCAGAGTGTTTGGCCCTTACAGAAAAAGTTGGTTGACCCCTGTCTGAAGGACTGGAGGTGAAGACGAAGTTCTTACCTCCAGAGTTTCCTACCTCGTGAGTCAGACAGTCTTGGAAATGGTCAAGTAGGATAAGAGGAAAAACAGAACTACTAAAAGGTCTGTAAGAGAGATCTTACTGAACTACCATTCTGCACAGGAAGAGCTGACATGTGAGCCAGCCTTGATGAAAAAGTAGGATTTTTGAAGTCAGTGAAGGCTGGAAAAGGCACTTCAGGCTGAGGGCCTGGCGAAGGCATGGAAGCCTTAGCAGTGCCTGAAATAGAAAAAGAGAATTTGTCTGAAATCTTTGGAAGATAAGCTACGTGGAGCAAATTGGTAGTCCGTGAGGTGAGAAAAATAGATGGGGACCATTTGTTGTTAAAATATATATATTTGTTGAACACCTACTAAATGACAGCCCCTGTGCTGGGTCCTAGATACAGATGCAGTGGGAACCAGGCAGGTGTGGTCTATGTCCTCATAGCACTTCCATTCTCATGTTTGCGTCTAGGCCCAGTGGGGCCCTGAACGACAGGTCAAAGGCTGAATGCTCTTCTGTTGGAAACAAGGGCTCTGGAGGCATTAAAGGCAGGAGCAGGGCCGTGGCTCACTCAGGCGCTGCTTTGGGAAGACGGGAGGGAAGGACAGCTGGAGGAGGGCTGTGCTGTAAGAGTGGGAGGAAAGCCACGATGAAGGCCTCATCCTGGGCAGGGCGCACAAATGGAATGAATGGGACAGACGCGGAGGCGAGCGCGGCGTCGACTGCCAGGCCCGGGAGACTGCTGCTGTGAACTGAACCAAGGGCCCGCGAGGGTGAGGCTGGCTGTGTGTGCGTGTTAAGATGATGGCTCTGGGGTGCCGGAAGGCAAGTCCAGATGGCCCTTGAACACCTGCCTCCTTGATCACCCTCACAGGGAAAGAAGGAGGGAGGCAGGGCAGACACAGAGAAGCACAGAGTGCTCTCCAGGAAGGAGCCCAGCATGGCTCTAGGGAGCACTGCAAACTGCAGGAGGGGCGAGGGGCGTGGCCGGCGGAACTGCCCTCTTCTCAGGCAGCCCCACCCAGGGGCTCAGGGCCTGCCGCCAGAGCCTTGCCAGGGCCCCCTCCGCACTGTCTGCACCCACCACCTGCACTGGTCAGCGGCTATCGATGGTGTGTTTACTCAGAGGCTTCAACTAGGACTCTGAGCATCTCAGGCGTTTTCAATTCCTGGGAACCAGGGGCACAGCCCCTCTAGCTGATCTCCCTGGGAATTCTGACCCTCTTCAGCAACACCCTGAGGGGCTTCCCTCTCTCCAGGGTCCTGGTTGTCACCTCTGCCACATGGGGACAGCAGGCAGAGGCAGCACTACCTGCTCCTGAGGACACACCGGCCTCAATGCTTGGGGCCGCCTCGGGGACCGCACTCACGCATGCACGCGCACGTCTGCGCCCAGGTCCCAGAAGAAAGGACGCCTGCCCCCTGGAGGTGCTCAGCGAAGAAAGTGCAGTCCCACACACTTTCTTGGTTCCAACATACCTCACGGTTTGCTGACCCCGGAAGTACCGCTGGATGACCAGGGCGGCTCCTCTCTCTCGGAGGAATTTTCTTCTCTGCAGCCAGCCACGGATGTGCTTTTGTATCACAACACAACCCTGCCTCAGTTTATCCAGCCGGAGTTTCTCTAAATAAGCCACTTGCCCTGCTCTGAAGAAAATTTTGGTTTTACCAAGCTGGTACTGATTAGAATCCTGGAAGAGAAAAATGACATAATCAGAAACAAATCTTTCAGATTTCCTACAGTTATTTGGGAATGAATGTGTAGAGATCCAAACACACCATAAACATTGTTATTTTGACATATCCGTTCTTTGACAACAATCATAAAAGTTCTGATCGTGACCTAGAAGTTCATATTGTCACTTGTTTGTTTAAAGCCTCTCTGGGGGAAGAAATGGGCTCGAGGCTGAGGTGTCTGTGGGGTGGGAAGGGGGACGTTGCTGATGATTCTCGGTGGGACCGCTGGGGACCTCCTGCCTCTTGTATGTGGTTTCCAGGGAAGAGCAGAAGCACCTGGAAAGGCTTGGTTTCCATCTCCATTTGGCTTCCCTTCACCACCCTTTTCCTGGTCATCCTAGCTGCCTCCCCACCTCGCTTCCACAACTCATGGCTCTAACTCCACACTGACTGCCACACTGGGAACTCCTGGCTTAGTGAACGTCTAGCTGACTGTAGCCTAGGCCCAGCCCACGGAAGCTCCCTAGGCTGTGGGAGGACACAGCAGGACAGGAGGACACAGTGGGGCTGGGGAGGCCAGAGTTCAAATTCGGTCCCTCTTGCTGTCAGGAGATGATGCCCCGGGAGTGGTTCTACTCTGGTCTCCAGAGCACACACATGCTAGGGGCACGTTTCCTTGCTTCTTAGGCATTCGTGACGGTCACAGCCCTGAGACAGAGGCAAAGGCACAGAAAGCGTGCAAGAGCCCACGGTCCCAGAAGGAGCGGGACTGACCTGGATGAGCCTGTGCAGGACCACCCTGCACACCTCCTGTTTGTCACTGAAGGACAGCTCCTGCTTGGTCATGAGGATCCCGTAGCGACTGTAGAACTCGATGTATGTCCACCTGGAAGGTCAGGGCGGACCTAATGAGTCGGGCTGGAGGGAGCGCGTGGTGTCTGCGGGCCCCATGGGCCTACCTGCCGTGGTGGGCGGGGTGGGGTCTGTCCCAGGGTTATTGTCCTGGGGACAGACCCCGCTGCTCCCTGGGACACTGCCCAAACCTCACCTGAGCACAGCAGGTTCTTGATAATGCCCTGCTCTAGCAGTCACCCTGCTCCCCCCGTCCTCCAGCTCCCTTTCGCAGGAGCACCGGGCGGGGGGCAGTGGGCCACCCTGACTAGTGCAGAGACAGCGGTGGGGTGGAGGGGCTGTGGCTGTCCCACATGCTGCCTGTTTATTGCCCTCTCTGGCCCTTATGAAAGCTTATGAATCTTACGAAAGTATCTGGCAGAAAACAGGGCAGCCCCTCCTCTGATTCTCAGCACAGACCTGAAGTTGGGCACTTTTTCCCCAACACAAGGACTGACAACGTACCTGGAAGGGTAGCTCTGTGCGCTGATGCGAATCGTTTCTAAAACCCCGCAGGCTCGCAGCTGCTGAACGATTCTTTTGGAGTCAAACCTTCAAGAAGACAACGTGAGACTGTGTTAAGCCGTCATAACTGAGGCACAGGCCCATCAACAGTGTAGCAGGCCTGGCCCGACAGGGAGCTTCTGGGGAGCAGGGTCCACCTGTGTAATCCCCAGGCCAGGCACCCGGCAGAGACTTAGTAAATACATGCTGGAGGTCAAATGAAGACAGCACCTCTGTGGAACAGTTCAGAAAGCTACACTGATAACACAGAGAAAGAGAAGCAGATTCTGATGGAGGTGACACAAGAAGCCTGGTGGGGAAATGGATGAGTGTGGAAGAAATGTCCAAGCTCACCAGTCCTGGCGCCTACTGGAGGCTGGGTCCCCTTCACGAGACACCCACAGGTGGCCCTCTGGCTTAGGTCTGACCCTCTGGGGACCCAGAGACACAGTCACCACCTCCAGGACAGAGCTCCCCACTTAGGCACCTCTTGGCTCGAGTCAGCTAAGAGACTCCTGACTTCCACTCGTGGGTCTGGGTCTTTGCCTTGGGTCTCCAGAGAACAAGTCTAAGGGCTCATGCCATGTTTGAGGGCAAAACTTCAGATCCCGCTGTGGCCTTTTTCCTTCGAACACAAATTCTTACTGTCTAGGGAAATGTCCTGGCTTTTGCAGTTGCACAATCTTCAACTATAAACTAATTCTTTCAAATCTAGGCCCTCTGCTTAATCCTGGAGATGAGAGCTTAGCCAGAGGGGTTGTGCTAACATGATACGTAGAGGGTATGACTGTTTTGAATCATTTAAAAACCCAGAAACAGTAAACTTCAAGATAATGCTAAGCAAATTCTCCAGCATCATGACTTCCTCGGTGTTTCCCTGTCTGTTGCAGAAGAATACTTACTCAAAGGGCAATTTCTCATCATTTGGCTTGATGCAGCGGACGTAGTGGGGCGTGGTGGCATTGAGGGTCTCCATGAGCAAGTACAGGGAGCTGCGGAACTAAGAAACAAGGTCAGACAACAAATGGCATGCTGGAATTTAATGCTGAGATCAAGGTTAAAAAAAAAAAAAGGTCCAACCTTGGCAAGTTACTCAAGAAGAGGAAAAATTAACTTCTTCCATAAACATCTGAAAAGTTTCGTCTGGATTTATGAGCATGTCCCACTGTAGTGGACAGAGCCCTTCCCAAATAGACAAGGGCTTAATGAATCAGGTTACTGTGCAAACATGTGGTTTGCTCGGGTGTGCATGGCCTTAGAGGTTGAGGCACGATGAGCTCCGACTCTTCTTTGCATTTGTGTTAGATTTGAAGAAGCCCAGTGCGCATGTCCATGCCTGGAATGGGTCCCATCCACACCTGGCTCTCTGCCCTCAGCCCCCTCACCCTCACACACGTCTCGGTACCTTGCTTCCCACTGTGCTCCGGAAATGCTTGTTGTTTGACTTGATGACTGGCTTTGCAGATTTAACTGTGATTGCTGAACTGAATGGGGAAGAAGGAACTGGATTTTCTTGAAAAAAGCTGGCACAGAGATGAAACTGGAAGGAACAGAGAGGGTTTTCATGTCCAAGGTGCTCGCCCACAGCCCTCAGCTGATGCAATCAAGGAATGGTCACAACAATCCCATCTCAACCCGTGGGGGGTACAGAAATAATCTCGGCCGAATCTCAATTCCACAAGGGGGTGTCCTCACTCGGGATGACTGGTGGCTTCTTTCCCAGGAAATGGGAGCAGGAAGGAAGCCATGTGAATGTCTATATGTGGGTATCACTCCAAGTGTCAGGAAGGTAGAAACATTTACTACTCCTACCTCTGTGCCACGGCTCATGTTGCTTCCGTACTTGGAATCTCCTCCCTCCTAACCCCACATTCTCATCCCCACAGATCCAAACCCTACCCATCATTCAAGGTTCTATTATAACATCCTCAGCCCCACCCCCTTCACAATACCTTCCCGGGTGCCGCAGCATGAATTAATCCCAACTTCCTCTGAGCTTTCTTAATTTTTTTTAATCTGTAACTCTTTTAAGACACATTACTTCCTACCTTGCATCAGTTAATGTCTTATCTTCTCTCTTAGAGTAGATCTCATGTTTTTTTCCTTTAGATTAGACATTGAGAATCTCCTTCGGGGGAGAATTCCTGCCTGATGCATCCTTGCAGCCCCCGTGGAACAAGTGGACCTGAGATCCCCAGGCCTCTGACAGCTGGTGGGCTTAGTGGAGAGACCCATCTGTACTTCACTGCGACCTGTGTTCCTCTTCCAGACCGGACCCCAGGTAAGCTGGGGTGAGTGAACAACTGGAGAAGTAAGTCAACTAATTTTGGACACAATAGGAATACAGGCCATTTCTACAGTCAATTCTGTGTCATAAATTGGTTTTAATAACTGAAGTTGTCATGGCCTGTGATTTATTTGTGATTACTAGTGGAAGTGCTCAGGCTCATCTGGGAAACTGTCAAAATTTCAAAAGAAGGAAAATAAATATGACAATCAAATTGTCGCAAAAATGAAGGATTCTCAAATTGAAGAACTTGAATTCTTAAAGTTCTTAAATTGGAGGAAATGTTTAAATAGGAAAAGAAAAAGCCAGAAGTCACTCTTTGGAGGATACTTCCTCATGCAGAACCACGGATTCGAGGGGCTCACATGCATAGGGCAGCGCTCCGTCTTGCTTTGGTTTCCCTTGGGCACTCACTGAGCACTGCCTACCATTGCTGGCTTTCTTGTTTAAGGTATGTTGCTCCCTCTGGGATGTGAGCTCCAGGAGGGCAGGAACCCTGCCTGCCTTGGGCACTGATGTATCCCCAGAATCTAGGACAGTGCTTGGCACATGGTCGGTGCTGTATAAGTATTTGGGAGTGAATGAATAAATTGTGAATTACGATTCTTTAAGTGATCATATTAGCTGTCCCTCTCCTCTGTCACCTGCATGTTCGTTTTCTGATTTTGTATATAGTGGACATCTGCACCTTTTCAGAAGCTAGAAACATATTTTAGTGCCAATTCTAAAATAGTCACTTCTTTTGTCACTTTTTTTTTGTATAGAGGAGCTATAACTTGCCACTACAAGACAATTAACACGCACACACTTGTCACTCTCTCCTGATATACATCGAGATCCACGTCAAGTACATAATGAATAACATTACCGATCAGGACTTCACAAACCTTGCTTGCTCTCAGAATTTCAACCAGCATGTCATACACGGTGTCTCTGTTCTTCTCAAGGAAACCTTCACATTTATACTCTACCTATGCAAAGAAAGGAATTCATTATTTCCAAAGAGGCAAAAGCAGATAGTATCTAAGTACCACAGGTTTCTTTTCTTTTTAAAGAAAGATTAATGGAGGGGCTGTAAAGGCAATGTTTTAAAAACAGATTCTGTTTCCATTTATCACAGCAACCAAACTACGGAAGCTCAGAAAGCTGGGACTATGTCATCTGACGGAAAGCCCCAGGCTCTCCCACTGCCTAGACTTCCCACCGGTCACTGGCTGCTGATCCCCCTGCACTCACCTGTTAGTTCTATCCAGCCACAGGTGACCAGTCAACCTGTGCAGTTAATATAAGGAAATCTGACCCAGGGCTCCCTCTGCCTTTGAAGCCACCAGGACAAGGAAGAAAGTTCAGTGGTGTCCCTTGGTTCAAACAGAAATGTCTTCCTTAATCAGCATTAATGTGGCAGAAAGGAAAGAAAAACAGACCAGCTGACCACACAGATTTCCAAGGCCACAATACCCTTAGAGTTAGGTTTAGAGTGGGTCAGTGTTTGCCCTGTTTGAATTTGACTTAGAAAAACCCTCCATGCAGGCCTTTCTGATTTATAAGGCTTTCTGAATTCCTTAAACAACAACACATTCATGGTGGCTGCTTAAACATTCAAATCTCTGGGTAGTTACAAAGCTACAGTCATCAAAACAGTATGGTACTGGCACAAAAACAGACACATAGATCAATGAGAGAGCCCAGAAATGGACCCTCATTTTTATGGGCAATTAATCTATGACAAAGTTGGCAAGAATGTACAACAGGGAAAAGATAGCCTCTTCAGTACATGGTGCTGGGAAAACTGACTGCTACATGCAAAAGAATCAAACTGGACCACTCTCACACCATACACAAAAATAAATTCAAAATGGATTAAAGATTTAAACGTAAGGCCTGAAATCGTAAAACTCTAAAAGAAAACACAGGCAGTGTGCTCTTTGACATCGGTCTTAGTAACACTTTTTTGGATATGTCTCTGCAGGCAAGGGAAACAAAAGCAAAGATAAACAAATGGGACAACACTGAAAGCTTCTACACAGCAAAGGAAACTATCAACAAAATGAAAAGGCCACCTATTAAATGGGAAAAGTTTTTTGCAAATGATATATCTGATAAGGGGTTAATATCCAAAATATACCAAGAACTCATGTAACTCAACATCAAAAAGAAAAAATAACTCTACTAAAAAAATGGTCAGAGGATCTGAATAGACATTTGTTTAAAAGACGATATACAGATGGCCAACGGGCACATGAAAAGATGCTCAACATTGCTAATCAACAGAGAAACGCAAATCAAAACCACAATGAGATACCACCTCACAACTGTCAGAATGGCCATCATAAAAAAGGCAACAAATAGCAAGTGTGGACGAGGAAGTGGAGAAAAGGAAACCTTTGTGCACTGATGAGATTGTGAATGGGTACAGCCACCATGGAAAATGGTATGAAGATTCCTCAAAAACTTAAAAACAGAACTACAATATGATTCAGCAGTTCCACTCCTGGGTATTTATCCGAAGGAAACAGAAACACAAATGAGAAGATATGTATCTATAGGCATCTGTACTGCATCCCACTGCAGCATTATTTACAACAGCCAAGTCTCTGGACTGTGTATTTTAATACATGATATATATTCTTCACAAAATTAAAAAATAAAAAATTGTAAGCAAACAGGCTGTCAGAGGTGCTGGAATCTGGAGGCAGAGAGGGCGTTCAGAGATTCCTGAGCAAGGACTCTGCTTTGTCCCCTGGGTAGGAAAGTGTCCTTACTAGGGCAGAGTTCGGGCTAAGAACCAGGAACACTGGCTGTCTGTAAACATGCCTTTGTGAATAAAGCACATGGATTGCTGTCCGGATTCTTCCAAGCTTGTGTGTGAGGCTCTGGTATGAATGAGCAAAGGTGAAAAAAATACAGAGTTTTTCTGATCCTGGGAGGTTGTTTGCAGGGACAGTGTCACAGGCGGCTGAGTGCCTCTGCTGGGGGCCCTGGGGATACAGCTGACTTGCTGTATCTAAGCACAGCTGTCTCACTTTCAAAACAATTTTATTTCCTCGGCAAATGAAATTGAGGACCTAAGCTAACTGTACAGGGTGTGTGGTTTCTCCCCACCAACCCACAGTCCACACAACATGCTGCATTGTTAGCCCTTTTAGGAGGGACTTCTTGGAAGTGCCAGGTGACAAGAGTTAAATGTACAGAAACTCTGTACTAGAGGGATGGTCTCTTGAAGTAAATCCCATGTGTGCTTTGCATGAAGTCTCATCCTTTTCTCTCTTTTCCCCATGAGGTCACAACTGTGAAATTATGAAGGACAACTAGAAAATATAACTTGATATATCATCCTTCATTTCACGTGCATCTTTTCAGGAACCTATCTGAGAAACTCTGAGCACTGAGAGGCAGTCACGTTAAACAGCGCTCCTCTAGCCCACAAAGGTTATTACCGCTGTCCAGCTGGTTGTCCCCTCCCCTGCCCACTCAGGGACTCAGGCACAACCAGAGACTCTAACCCACAGCACCAGCCTCTAGGACAGTCAAGCACAGGCTGTCCCCATGACCCCCAGGCACTGGCCAGGCCACTGGAGTAACAGCCGACTGGACAATGGCACAGAGGGCAGGAGTTCCTTACGGAAGGAAAACAAGATGAGAAGCATATTTAGGGCAGGTGGTTATGGTGATTTTTATTTTTTCCTTTCATTTCCTAAGCTTTCTATAATGTGATTTTTTTAAAATAAATTTTTATTAAAGTAACATTTTTTCATAAAAAATAGACAGATAAAGAAGAAAATAAAGATCACCTAGAAAACCCATCATCTTGAGTCAACCTATGTTACCAATGTCATAAATACATTATGACAATAAAAAAGGAAAGCGTTAAAAAAAAGACATACCTTTCAATGTAGGAAACAACTATGCTGTCTTGATTATAATAATTTCATAGAGAAAATAAACTGATAAAAGATTAGTGAATTTACAATAAATTCAAAATCAGAAATGAGGTCCACTGGCAACACGTTTATCTTTAAAGCAGTACAACTGAAACTCATGGACTTTGTGATAAAAACAAATTAAGAATTGTTACACACACACACACACACGCACGTATCCTTCATCAAAACTACATGCTAAGTGTGGCAATCCCACCAGCAAAGTCCCGGCCTGCCTGCTCCTCCCAGGAAGACGGCACTGGTCCAGACTTTACCTTATCAGCAAAGTGCTGGATGATAAAGGATGTGTTTGACATTCTGGGTTTTTCAAACAAAGAGTTCTTGTTGACAAAATTATTATACAGCTTTTGAAGCCAGTTTTCGTCAGTTCCATGCGGTAACTGGAAGAGAAAAGCAAACCAAGTAGCAAGTAGGAAAACTAGAGATGAAAGATTAACAGAAGCGGGGAAATGCGCTAATTCTAGGAAACCAAGATGAGCTCCCACCTCGGAGGGGGTTGCGCTAGATCTGAGGCTCCTTTCTAAAAAGCAGCTCTAGGCATAAATGTGTCCTTGATCTTAACATTCTTTAGAGTGATATTTAAACGGACGTATCAGTGCCTTTTTAGAAGAACAAGATACTATTGACAAAAAAGAAACGGTTGTATAATAATGTAAAAATGAAGGGTTTTATTTCTGCAAATTTGGCAGTATTTTAGTTTTTCTTCTCAAAGAAGTCCAAAGGTTCAGGAAAAGGTAGCATGGACTCCATTAGGTGAACATGGTTTTTATTCTCAGTTGAACGGGGAAGATTGGAACCCAAACGTAGTCCTCCCCATCCTCTGCCTCAGGAAAATAGTTTTTCTTTTACTTCACTGCCTCATTAATAACTACCTCCTTGAACTAAGACCTTACCTACTCAAACTAAGCTAGTTGCAAAACTTGTTCTTGACATTGGTGATTTTGAAGCCATCAATTACATTCAGCCTGAATTCACATCTAATACCCCACTGCGTCCAAATGACTCCTGTATACGTCTTTGTGACACTGGTCACCCAGGGAATGTCTCTGTAGAGGGGGTACAAATATGGCCTAGAGGCTACTTGGCCTCTGCACCCTTCCCCCAGTAGATCACTCCAGATGTACGGCCCTGATGCCTGCCTTCAATCTCACATCACTGCAGGGGCTGAAGCACAGGCGGCACCAGAAAGGACAATTTGTGAGAAGAAACATGGGATTGAGAACTCTAGGGAGAAAGCCCCCGGAAGTCTTCAACATAATTATTTTGAGGGGGAACCGATAAATCTTTGGACAAGAAATAAGATACATGTTTAAACATCAAAATATAACCTTTAAACCAAAAAATGAATACTGTCCTGGGGACTGTTTTTTCCTGTGGCCCCACGGGGGACACTGCTAGGCTGACTCACTGTGAAGTTGCTCCTCCCAGAAGGTAATAATAATACTAGGAAAATTCCTAGAGACTCTTTTCTCAGTTTTATGATGTTGATTTTCAGCTGCACCTCCTGATGGGTGACTCATAGAATCAGGAAGTAAAACAAAACTCAGTTCTTGTTAGTTATGAACAACTGGCGTGCGGCCACCTGCTGCTTCATGTCCACTCCATATATATATCTCTGGGGACAGCTTCAAAGGGCTCCTTCCTGCTGGGCGTGACCTAAGAGGTCATGCATGTCACCCAGGGGTGGGCTACACAGGCTGAAGGTGGGAGGTTCACCCAGCTCCCTGAGGTTCCTGCTATGGACTGCTGTCCCAGCATTAATATCCAACCAGTTGATAACACATCTGGAATTTACATGTACATTAAAAAAATCCATTTTGCAATACATTCATCTATGACTACTCCAAAGTTGAAAAAAATCCCAATTATTTAAAAAAGTTACCAAGCATTCTTCATCCAGTAACTCCAAAATACCCATTTTTGCTTCAATCAAGTCAATGACTGGTTGATTGTCATAGAAATCTATCAGAGTCCAAGGGATATCTTCCTTCATGTATTCTTCTTGTTCAAGTTTAAAGACGTGCTAGGAATCCAAAAGTTAATACAGAAAGAAAGAGAATATGAGTATATGAGTGTGTTTCTGAAGAAGAGGTCATAAGTATTTGGACAATGTAGACCATGACTAATCTGTAATGTTTACATAAGACCCTGAGGTTCACGCCACCCCCTTGCCTGTGATCAATGCTGCTGAGGTCCTAACGTGGGTCTAGCTGTCATCTTCCCGCTCAGACTGAGTGGGTCCCCACATCCTGGGGTGTAAGGCCTGGCCAGTCTGCCACCTCCAGCACCCAGGGTGGTTCTGGCGCCCCTCTCTGTTCACAGCCACAGCCACTGTCCAAGGCAGACCCAACCTCTTTGGGTGGGAGCCAGCCTGCCCCAGAATGCTGGCTATAGGGCCCGTGTGAGAAGCCAACAACATGGAGAGCTTTGTTCACTGCTTGTCTGGGCCATGAGGGTGTCAGGGAGACTTCCCAGAGGGCTGACTCAGGTTCATCCTGGCCGTAGGTGGCAGGAGGGGCAGGGGCTGTGAGGAGAAAGGCTCCCACAGGAGAATCTCAGCGGGAACTGCAAGGAAGCCCAACAAGTGGTGGTTGAGAACCAACGGGCACCTGCACAGGCCAGAGGAAGAGAGCGCCCCAGAGTAATAGGGGTGGCGTGGGGGGCGATTGGACGAGACTGCAAAGGATGGCAGAGGGGAGATCGCATCAGCCCTCTGTCCCCCGGCCCCAGAGAACCTCGGTCCTGTGGCCTTTTCTTAGGGGCAGTGAGGATCCATGGAGTTCACGAGGAGACCTGGGTTCAGGAAAGATAACTCGGTCTGGATGTGGGGATGGTTTTGAAGAGGGCAAGACTAGAGGCAGAAAGCCGAGTCAGGACCCAGCCCAGTGTTCTGAGGTGGCCGGGCACTGTGGGAGGAAGATGAGCAGGAGCGAAGAGGTTGGGATGAACATTAGGCTCAAGACACTGGGTCAGTGGCGATGCATTAACCACAAAAAGGAGTGTAGAGGGTAAGGAGGCTAAGAGGGGAAGGTGGTGCTTTGTCACTGTTCATCTCCCTGAGGTTGCCCAGGTGCAGGGTCTAGCAATGGCCCGATTTATGGGACAGGTGCTTGGAGAGATGGGCCCACTAGGGCTTTTATGCTGGTATTTTTAACATATCACGCCTCCCAGGAGGATCTGCACATTGATAGATTACTCAAAAAAAAAAGGAAAAAGGAAAAAGGAGGAGGATGAAGTAGAAGAGGAGGAAAAGTAGAATTAAAAAAAAAAGAAAAAACGGAATTGCAAACTTTGATATGTATTTGGGGTGGTGGGTAGTGTCTTGTAAATGTATTATTTGAGGTTGAGTCCTGAGAGGGCCAGGATCTGCAGATACAGTTTGACTTCAGGTGAGTTATGCTGCATATCCACTTGGAATAAACCTTAGTTTCAGTTACTAAATGCTAAACTTTCAGGGAATCCTTGAGAATGCTAACAGAATAGAAATTCACAATGGGATGAAATCTAACGCTTACACATGGATTAATTCTGGAGCAAGAAATAGGAAAGCAAAGAAACATTTGCTGCATATGAGTCAATGTTAGGTCTTCTCTTCACCAGAATATTAGGCAGATCCTACTAACCCATTTTCAAAACAGAGAAACTGAGGCTCAAAGAGCCGAAGGTCCCAGAGAAAGGAGGTAGCAGAGCTGAGATTCAAACCCAGTTCAGTCTGAACACAAGCCCATGCTCTCCCTGATGTCACACCATCTTCTCCTCAGGGTCTGTGTGGGAGGAGCTGAATTTCAAAAGACAGGCAAGGAGTTGTCCAGGTGGAGATGAAGGGATGGGGAAAGGACAGGGCAGGTGGGTGACAGCAGAGAGAGAAGCAGGTGCAGATACCACAAAGACAGGAGCCTTGGGGAAACTAAGTCATCTGGTCTGGCTGCAGGGGGGGTCTGTATCCAAGAATGGCAGGTGCTGAACTGAAATGGAAAAGTTGGCAAGTGGCTCCACAAAGATGAAATAGGATGGGAAGTTGCAGTTTCAAGATAACGGCCACAAGATGGTGCAGTGACCCAGCATGTAACTCCTTTAATAACTGGGAGGTTTGAAGAGGGAAGGAGCCAGACCGCCTCTCTCTGTGTAAAAACACACACACACACACACACACACACACACTCCCAAGAACTACTTTGAAGAAGGCAGAAAAGTCACCTACCAGGTTGAACTGCTGTTGCAGCTTTTCGTTAGCGTAATTAATGCAAAACTGTTCAAAGCTGTTCACATCAAAGGTTTCAAAACTGAAATACAGTTTAAGTAAGTTAAGACATAACTTGAAGGACTCACACATTTGTTTATATTTAGTATTTTTTGACAAACTTCATAGCTTAAAAGTTTTCTGTTTTCTACAAGTCTTAAATATGCCTCAAAGCTTCTGGTTTAAACATCCCAGCAGTTTACAAATCACCTTTGTTTCAGGCTGCCCCCAGAAGGAATCTGGTGTGTACAAACACCCACCTGAGGCAGGCGTTAAAACAGGCACATCACATTACGGCATATCATTTAATCCACACAACACTGACATCAGCGTTATTATCCTCACTTTATAGATGAGGAAATAAGACTCCGAGAAGTTAAGAAATTTGCCTGAGGTCACAGAGCAGTGTCAGACTCAGCTGCCAGCCCACCTGACTGTAACACCTAGGCTTTTGGTGAAAAGGCACTGCTGTTTCCTGTTCCCCCACTCTGCTGAAGTCAGAGGCAGCACAGTTTTGCCTCCCCCAGGGGTGCTTTCATAGTCCTTGGAGGAAAAGAGGAAGGCCATCTAATACCCATAGCCCAGCAGACCCCATCAGGTCCAGGGCAGACACGCCCCACCTTCATTTTCAGACTTTCAGTGGCTGCCTCTGGAGTTGCAAACCCACAAGCTGAGATGAGGCTGGCAGGTGACAGTATGGGGAGCAGGCTGAACTATGCAGAGCCCGTGATAACCAGGACTGCCCTGCAAGGCAGCTGCTACTCAGCTGCAGCCAACTGTGGCCATGGATTCATGCCGGTCAGGATATGAGATCATCTGATTCCCAAGAGAATCCAGAAACCTGGACCCTACATGAATTACCCTGCTCTGTGAAACATGCTGTGGGCTGGATAAAACTGGGGCACCAAATTCCCCACCTGCCAGGAGGAAGCTGAGGGCTTCCCTCACCTCACCCTAACACAGCCCTGGGTGGAGGGCTGCTGGGACCCCGCTGCTCCACACGAGGGCAGAAGAGAGGCTGACCATCGCAGAGTGGTGCCAAACACATAGTCTGACCCCAGCTCTTGGTGCCTCTAAAACCTTGGTTCTTAGCCATTCTAATCTGAGAAGTTCCTGCCAAACCCAACCATGGGTCCCCTGGGAGTCTCACTTGATGGAGCCCGTGTGGCTCCATTCAGAATTCCTGGGGGCAGGTTAAAGGCCGGGACTATCCTCCAAGCAGCTCCAGTCTGACTTGGAGCAGAAACAGGACCCACAGTCCTGACAGCCCTGTTCCACACGGTTGGGCCATGGCTGCGCCAGGAGGAGAGTCAAGAGGGCCTCATCGTGCTTTGCAGCCCACAGCCAAGGCCAAAGGCCGGACTCCCCAGAGCAGGGGCAGACTGTCAGGCATCAATGACTATTTTCCTGTTCACATCTGAACAATGCTTATTGTTCTTAAAATGACTACACGATTTCTTCCACCTGACCTTTGTAATAA